CACACGCATGCGTAACCAAGGCATCTTTACATTGGCCCCCTCTGGGCATCGTTACATAGGCCCCGAGGCGCACCTGTAGGCTGGCGGATAAATGAACAGTCTTACTTGGAGAGGTGAGAGGCTACTCCCTCTGAACACATACACCCGCAAACTGTCAGCACTGCGCCCTCGGCGAGAGGGCGCTTGGAAGGGGGAGACGGCGGTCTTCTATCCGGCAGCGGTGGCGGAGGAGGTATCTGGAATTAGAATTGCACAGCCCGCAGCGTCTTCCTGCTGCACCTTGCCGATGTCTCTTCTTTCCCTTGTCGCGCTGCAGATCCGTTTTCCGCCATCCTCCTCCTCCTCCTCCTCCTCCTCCTTTCTTCTTCCTCTCCTCCCTCCTCCCTCCCCCCCTCCTCCATCACTCCTCTCCTCCTCCTCCTCCTCCTCCTCCTCCTCCTCCTCCTCCTCCTCCTCCTCCTCCTCCTCCTCCTCCTCCTCCTCCTCCTCCCTCCCCCCCTCCTCCATCACTCCTCTCCTCCTCTCCTCCTCCTCCTCCTCCTCCTCCTCTCCTCCTCCTCCTCCTCCTCGCTTCCTCTCCTCCTCCCATCCTGTTTTTTTTTCCTTTTCATCTTCCTCCTATCCTCCTCCTCCTTTTTTCCCTCCTGGCTCCTTCCGTCCTGCCTTTTCTTTCTTTCTTTCTTTTCATTTTTTTTCTCTTTTTTTTCCTCCCTGCCCCGCCTCCCCCTCCCCCCCGGAGGAGCTCTGGAGGGCTGCGTGCTGCCGCGCTCTTGCCATTCCCCCCTTCGCGCTCTCGCGCTCTTGCGCAGGCGCCCGCAGGCTCCAGGGGGGGCTCCAGCTTTTGGCTCCCGGCTGCCCCCCTGTATGCGAGTTGCAGCACTGTTGGGCGCAACGGGCCCAGCTCCTGCTGTCTGATCAACCATTTTTTTAAAAGGAGGAGGAAGAGGAGGAGGAGGAGGAGGAGGAGGAGGAGGAGGAGGAGGAGGAGGAGGAGAGGAGGAGGAGGAGGAGGAGGAGGAGGAGGAGGCGAACCCTGGATGTTCTCGTCGCCGAGCCCGTGCTCGCGCGGGCAGGCCCGGGACTTGGATCGATTGCTCCAGAGCGTTCCAGACTTCTCCCAGGGCGTCCCAGACCCAGACAAGACCGCGTCGTAAGCGAGACTTCAGGGCGGAGGTGTTTCACCGTTTTTGTTCGCCCCTCCATGGGATCCTGGCGACTCCATTTTTTTCGAGCCGGGCGTTTCCGCCTTTTTTCGAGCCCTGGGACCCTCACAGTTCGATCCGGCTCGAAAGATGGCGCAGAAAGATGGGGTCCGGGGCTCCCCGCGCGGATCCTCACGATGCTGCAATGTTTTCGCCACGTCGGATCTCAGGGGAGGAGGAGGAGGAGGAGGAAGGAGGAGGAGGAGGAGGAGGAGGAGGAGGAGGAGAGGAGGAGGATGCAGGAGGAGGAGGAGAGGAGGAGGAGGAGGAGGAGGGAGGAGGAGGAGGAGAGGAGGAGGAGGAGGAGGAGGGGGAGGAGGGAGGAGGAGGAGGAGGAGGAGGGGCGAGGAAGGCGGAGGAGGCGGGGAGGAGGAGAGGAGGAGGAGGAGGAGAGGAGGAGGAGGAGGAGGAGGAGAGGTTTCTAGGGTGCTGCAGGGGGTTGGGGGGAGGAGGAGGAGGAGGAGGGGATGAGGAGGAGGAGGAGGAGTAGGAGGAGGAGGAGGAGGAGGAGGAGGAGGAGACGGAGACGGAGGAGGAGGAGAGGAGGAGGAGGAGGAGGAGGAGGAGGAGGAGGAGGAGGAGGAGAGATGTGATGGAGGAGGGGTGTGAGGGAGAGGGAGGAGAGGAAGAAAGAAAGGAGGAGGAGGAGGAGGAGGAGGAAGGAGGCGGAGGGAGGAGAGGAGGAGGAGGGGGGAGGAGGGAGGAGGAGGAGGAGGAGGAGGAGGAGGAGGAGGAGGAGGAGGATGAGGAGGAGGAGGAGGAGGAGGAGGAAGAGGGGTTTGGAGGCACCCACTGGGCCCCGGGACTGTCAAGGACCGGCTCGGGATGATCGGGGGCCCCCACAAACGGCGTGGTGACACCGTGCGGTGAGTCGGCGGGGGCTCGAGGTCACAGCACGGTTTTGGGGCTCGGGTCGCTCTCCGAGGACGTCTCGGGCGGCCGCGGCATCCGAGGTCCCAAAGCCGTGCGTTGACGGACCGTGCGGTGAGGCCTTGGGGGACTTCGAGGTCGCCGCACGGTCTGTCACCGCACCGCTCCGGGACTCCGAGGATGAACAGCCGGTCCCCGGGGAAAGCGTCGGTACTTCGTGGGGCCGCGCGTGGATCAAGGCAGGCCGCCGCGCATGCCTGGGAAGCGCTCCGAGACGCCCGTGGCCCTCCCACAGACCCCCGACGTCGTGAGAAACTCACGACGTCGGCCCCCCGAAGTCTGGAGACCTTCCCTGGGACCGGCTCTGCATCCCGAGTCGTTTTTTCTTGACGCTCCCGAGGCCCAGCGAGGGCCTCCAGAGGCCGAGAGTGGTCAGAAACCTTCGTCGTGAGCTTCTCGCGGCGTCGGAGGTCTGGGTCGACACACCCTCCCGAGCCGCCGCCAGCTCCCAGAGAGCCCCGAGCCCTCCTCCGCGGGACGGCCCCCGACGCGTGCGGCGCCTTATGGTGCCTCTCGGCGCGGGGCTCCCCCGGAGGGCCCGCCGCCCCTCCTCAAGCAGTGGCGAAGCGTCCTGGCTCGCCTATAGCCCTACCAAACAAGGTTCTAAGAACCTCTTGTGGTCTCCACGAACTGTTCGTACGACATCTCTGGCTGGGACCGTCCTGTTTGAACACCTCGGGCTTATATGTTCCAAGCACACTGTTGTTGTGATTCGAACCTTTTTCGGTTCGAAGAACATTTCGTCGTATGACTATAGTCAGGAGGGAAAGAAACACACAGACACAATTAATCGTCGATTCCCCAGAAAATATGGGAAATTTTGGGGAGTGGGGGGGAAGACAAAAACCCAGAAAATATAGGAAAATATGGGGAATCTTTTTATTGAATCGCGCTTCGCTCATTCCGCCGGCCCGTGATATGGCATCGCTGGTTTTTGTCTGTGTGTTCGTTGCCCATGTTGCGCTCTGGGGGGCGGGTGTCGTTCGGACGCGGTGCGTGGGGAGTTTTGATGGTGAAGCAGTTCCCTGGGGGTCGTCTCTCGATGGGGCGAAATAGAGTCGTCGTCAAGATGCTTCTTTGGGGGGCCTCTTGGGGTCTGTTGAGAGGCCGTTCGGGGGCGCCTGGGAGACATGTTTGAAGCCTTCTGGGGCTTCTTTTGGGCCTCTTGGGAGTCTCCTGGGGCCTCTTGGCGACATCTTGGGGCCTCTTGGAGGCCTCTTGGGGCCTCTTTGGGACCTCCTGGGCGCCTTCTGGGACGGAGGGCTCATTTTTGAGTTCTCGGTATCCCTCCTGAGTCCCTCTTGGGCCCGTCTTGGGGCCTCTTGGTCCGTCTTGGGCGGCACTTGGGCCGTCTTGAGGGCTCTCTTGGGTCGTTTCGGCGCCGTCTTGGGAGCTTCGTGGGCCGTCTTGGAGCGGTCTTTGGGGCCTCTTGGGCCGTCTTGGAGCGTCCGGAAGCCGAAAAAGCCAGAACACAAAAAACATAGAAAAAACCAATGAAAATCAACGATTTTGGCCTCTTGGGGCTCTCTTCGGAGGCCTCTTGGAAGGCTCTTGGGGCGTCTTGGAGGCCTCTTGGGCTTTCTTGGGGGCCTTTTGGGCCGTCTTGGGGTCATCTTCGGCGTCTTCGAGCGCTCTTTGGGCGTCTCGGGGGCCTCTTGGGCAGTCTTGGGGGCCTCTTGGGGCACTCTGAGCGCGCTCTGGGGAGCCTGAGAGGCCGCACCCAGAAGGAAAACCATCTCTGAGTAGACTTGGTCGGGCGGCGGTCGGGCGGCGGTCGGGCGGCGACCGGGCGGCGACCGGGCGGCGACCGGGCGTTGGTCGGGGTACTTTTCGCCGGGGGACCCCCAGGGTAGGAAAATATGGGGAATCTTTTTATTTGTGTGTATTTATGTGTGTGTTTGTGGGCCCCTTCATATAGGACTGCCGCCGCCCCTCCCCCGGGGCGCGGCCTGCATATAGCCCGAGTGCGGCCCCGGGGCCCCGGCGGAGGGCCCCTATGGGGGGCCGAGAGCGGCCCCCGGGGTCGGCGACTCCCCAAAGGCAGGGCTGGACCTGAGCGGTGCTTGTCGTGTTCGTTTTTTGTGTTCGTTTTGTGTCTTCGTTTTTTCGTGTTTTCGTTTTCGTTTTGGCTTCGTGTTTTCGTTTTTTGTTCTCGTTTTTTCGTTTTCGTTTTTTCGTTTTCGTTTTGTTTTCGTTTTCGTTATGTTTTCGTTTTCGTTTTGTTTTCGTTGTCGTTTTGTTTTGTTGAACCTAGCGGTGCTTGTCGTTCTCGTTTTGCCTTCGTTCTCCCTCGTCCTGTCTTCAGTCCGCCTTTCGCGCAGAGCGAACTCGAAGCGAAAACGGCCCACGAAATCGCAGAAACACCGTTTGGGTCCAGCCCTGCTCAAAGGGTATGGTTGCGCCAGGGTGTGGCTTGCGATCGGCAGCGTCGGGGCCTTGCGGGGCACGACGCTGTCCTCGTCGGGCCTCCTCGGGGCGCGGTGGAGAGCGCCATCGAGGCCCTCGCCCGCCCCCCAGGGTGCCCCTCGGGGTGCCGGTTGCAAGCCACACCCTCTGCAGGCCAGACCTCTCGGAGTCGCCGACGAGGCCCGCCCGCTCGTGAGCCGTCCACTGCAGGAGGGGAAAAACACACAGGCACAATGAATCGTCGATTCCTGGGAAAATATGGGAAAATATGGGAAGTGGGGGGAAGACGAAAGCCCCGAACGTATGGGGGAATGTGGGGAATCCTCTTAGTTGTTTGTATTTATTTGTGTGTGTGTGTGTGTCCTTGGGCCCCTTCATCCACGGCGGCAGCACGTCTGCGTCCTCGTCCTGCCGCACTGCCCTCGCTCTAGGGACCTGGGGGGGGGGGCGCCGCGGGGGCAGGCGACCAGAGCTCACGGGCTTCTTCCGCATCGCCGCGCGGGCGGTCTCCTCCGCCCAGAAGCTGCGGAGCGAAGCGGGGAGCGTCGCGAACCCGTGGCGGGAGATCAGCTGAGCCTCGCGCGCTGGGGGCGGGGGCTGCTGCCGCTCGCCCTCGAGGGGGGGCGGGACAGGGAGGGAGGGAGGGACGGGGAGGGAGGGGGGCGGGGAAGTAGGGAGGGGGCGGGCCGGGGCGGACAGGGGGCGGGGGGAGGCGCTTGGCTCGGGCCCGCCCGACCGCCCTCGCCCGCGAGAGCCCGTCCCCGCCTCCCCCCCCGCCCGGTCTCGGCGTGACCGCCCGCCCCCCCTGTCGTGGCCCGCCCGCCCGCCCTCGCCCGCCCGCCCGCACACTGCGGGCCACGCCCCGCCCCCGCGGGGCCCCGCCCCCGCTCGCGGCGGCCCGCCCCGCCCGCCGGCGCCCGCCCCCGCGGGGCCCCGCCAGCCGGGGCGGAGCCCAGCCGGGCCCCGGCTCGGGCGGCGGGCGTCCACTGCCCAAGGTCTCATGGGGCGGCCGGGCCGATCCCCGGCCGGCCGCCGGCCAAACCGGGTCTCTGCACGCACGAGATGGGCACGGGAAGAATGGGTACGATGCCCAACAGCAGTTCCTGTTCGTTTTGAACAGGACTCGCTGTCCGCGCCGCCGCGGCCTGTGTCCACTTGAGCCAGAAGGCCGCCTGCCCACCAGCGGCCGCTGCCGGTTTGGGACAACATTTGATGTTGGGCATTGTACCCAGTATTTCCGTACCCATTTCGGGCATCCAAAGAGTCGGCACCACCCCTCCTGCGACCCGCTGGGTCGTAGAGATGCGTCGCGCAGGTGGGTCGTGGGCGAGGTGTCGCAGGTGAGTCGCAGGTGGTCGTAGGCGGGCGAGCGCCTAAACTTTTCAACAACCTTCAACATCGCTCGGCCGGAGGTGGGGTGGTGTCCGTGTGGTTTCTGGTCCAGGCCGACCCCGTCCGTGACGGCCCCGTCGCCTCGCTTCGGGGCGTGGGCAAGCGGCCGGAGGCTTCAGGGCGAGGGGCTCGTCACGGAATGGACTCGTCAGCGCAGGGGTCGCTCAGGCCGCGCCCGAGGAGGAAAGGGCTGGGGGAGCGGGAGGGGTGGAGTAGGAGCAGGAATAGGAGGAGGAGGAGGAGGAGGAGGAGGAGGAGGAGCAGGAGCAGGAGCAGGAGCAGGAGCAGGAGCAGGAGCAGGAGCAGGAGCAGGAGGATCAGCAGGATATGGAGGGGCAGGAAAAGCGTTTCCATAGGGGGAGGGCGATAATGACGAGGAAACATGTTTGCTGGCGTGGACCCCAAAGAGTGACTTCGTGCATCCCTGGATGTGCAAGCTATGTGGTAGAAGCTGTGTGGTGGAAGTTACTTGTGCTTTTTGTTGGTATATTGAATGTCGTCAATTCCAATGCTTGTAGAAACATCCCACGCTCCCAGCCGCAACTTATCGATTCAGCTCATATTGGCCATGATTTCAACGAGTGCACGGGCTCGTGGAACGCAACCGCGCAGACAAGTCGTCGCGAAATGGTGGTAGCCATGGTGACGACGCCAACCACGAGGTCGATGACAGCGGTGGTGACGCTGATGCTGATGGCGGTGACAATGGAGATGAGGACGATGTGATGTCGACAACACCGACTGTGAAGGTAATGGAACTGCTGGTGATGTACGGTGGCAACGATGATGCTGGCGATGATGGTGATGATGGCGATGGTGTTGGTGATGATGATGAGGACGTGACCACGAACAGAGCTTTGACGATGACGATAACGGCGGTGGTGATGATCCCGACGATGGTGATGCTGATGACGGTAATGATATGGTGGTGACGGGAACGATGTTGGCGATGTTTGTGATGATGCTGGCGATGGCGATTGCCATGATGACGCAGACGGCAGCAATAACGACTATGCTGATGAGGGCGATGGGAAAGTGCTTGCCCGCAGGAAGCCAGGCATCTCGGCATGCCTGTCTTGAGAACCGTCGGGGCCCGCACGCTCCTGAACATACACCTCAGGCGATGCTTAAGAAAACTTAAGTTTTCGGCCAGAGTCTCGATTATTCTTAACGTTTCAATGTAAATCTTAAGATTTTGATAGAAATCTTGGGTTTTTGTTCAAATTCTGAGACTATGAATTTCTTAACCCATGATTTCTTAAGCATTTCGCAGGGTGTATGTGTGTGTGTGTGTGTCGAACGCGTGTTGCACCGGTGGCGCGGGAAGGATTCAGACCTCGGCGCGCGCGCAGACGTCCGCGCGCGGCCGCCCGCTCCGGACTCTCTGACACAGGTCGTGGGCGCGCGATGGTGGGCGAAGGCTTTCGACATGCGCGCGCGCGAGCGGCCCGCATGCTCTCAGTTGAACAGAGGGGCTGGAAAAAGTGCTGGCTTTGTTCTGATGTCGGCGACCGCGCGCGCAGCAGTCTGGCAGCGTGCCGTTCACAACCACGTGGGTGTTGATATCCTTTGGACAGCCAGGCCTGGCCCGTGTTTTTTGTTTCACACAGTGTGGTTGAAGGATTTTGACTTGTGCGCGCAGCTGCGCGCGCATGTGCCCTGCAACGCATGTACTGCAAAGGGTTCTGAAGACAAAACATCAAGTCAATACATGTGTACCGAATCGTTGATTTTCAGGAGTTTTGCGGGGCGGGTGGGTCGATACCTGCCTGGGTGGCATTTTGTTATTCCCACATGTCGGGGACGACGGTGCAGAAACATAGGATCATCGAGATACCTCAGGGAGTGCGGATAAGTCGGGCTTCGGGAGGGTGGGGATCGTAAGTCTTTCTTAGACACAGGAAGCTTGTTCGGTGCACTTTTATGCCGTGCGTGCATCGAACGTCGTGCAAGATGTGTGTGTGTGTGGCTCCTGCGGTGTAGTGCATGTGGCGCCAGCTTTAAGTCGGGCATGCTTCCCTACAACGGGATTTTCAACGAAAAACGAAAAATACCCCAAACATATAGAAAAAATAGTCCCCAAATTGTCGGGGACTATTTTTGGAGTATGTTGCTGACCATTTGAGGGCATTTCTGTAGTGTTTTTTTTATTTTCGTCGAAAATCCCCCTGTAGGGGGACACGCCCGACATAAGGCCAGCTGCGTGGTGCAAGCTGGTCCTACGGTGGAAGCTGCGGGGCGCACGCTGTGGCGAGCTGCGCGGCGCAATACATCTGCGTCGCGCGTGCATTGCAATGCCGCGCGTGCATTACACGTCGTGCAAGATGTGTGGTTCCTGCGGTGCAGCGCATGTGGCGCCGGCTGCGTGGTGCAAGCTGGCCCTACGGTGGTGGCAGCTGCGGGGCGCACGCTGTGGCGCGGAGCTGCGCGGCGCAATAGATCTGCGTCGCAGGCTGCCTCGGCGCTGAGCGGACGCCCAGCGGGCGGGCGGCTTCGCCCTCCCTGCCCTTCCACGCTTCTCCCCGCTCGGCCCCTCGCCGGCGTTCCCCCTTCTTTGCCACAGGGCTCCTCCGCGCAGTTTTTTTGTGGTAGAAAGGAATATATATATATATATATATATATATATATATATATATATATATATATATATATATATATATATATCCCTGGGGGCGAGGCCGGGGGCCCCAGGACAGGTGCCCCGACCCCCCATGGGGGGACCGGGGCTCATTTTCCCTGTGTTTTTACAGGGTTTCCGCGTCCTGGGCCTCGGAGGCCGCCGCCTCCGACCTCCCATGGGAGGACGGGGCGGCCAGGGAGGTCCAAAATAGTCCAGGAGGGCCTCCAGAGGCCCCCAAGACGGCCCAAGCGGGCCCCGAGTCGCCGAAAGACCGCTCCAGGACGCCCAAGATAGGCCCAAGACGGCCCGAGAGGCCCCCCAAGGCACTCCACGACGCGCCAAGACGCCTCTCCAGAGCGCTTCCAGAGGCCGAAATCGTCAATTGTACGAAGGTTTTCGAACCATTTTGGCCTTCCAGCCTTTTCGGCTGTCCGACGTTCCAAGACGGCTCAATAGGCTCCCAAGAGCGCCCCAAGACGGCCCAAGAGGGCCCCAAGACGGCCCCAGAGTCGCCCAAGACAGCCCAACAGAGCCCCAAGACGGCCCCAAGATGCGCCCAAGAGGGGGACCACGACTCCAAAATTCGACCCTCCCGCTTGAAGAGTGCCCCAGGAGGCCCCAAGGAGCCCCCAAGAGGCCCCAGGAGGCCCCCAAGAGGCACCCAGGAGGCCCCAACGAGGCCTAAAGAGGCCACAAGACAGCCCCGAGGAGGCCCCACAACGGACCCAAAACGGCTACCGAGAAGCTGCGAAACTGCCTTCACGACGTCCCCGACAGGCCAACCACGAGATCCAAACCAACACCCATGAGGCCTCTGACCCACCACCCAGGGCACGGTGGCGGGAGCAGTGACAGCACTTGTGCACAGCATGTTCCGGCGGGAGCCTTCCGGAACACGCTGCAGGAGGAGGAGGAAGATCAGGAGGAGAGAGAGTTGGAGTGGGAGGAGGAGGAGGAGGAGGGGGACGAGGAGGAGGAAGAGGCCTCCCAGACAGCTCCAAGATAGCCGAAGAGGCTTCCAAGAGGGCCCTGGGCGGCCCACGAGGGCCCCAAGGCGGTGCCTGAGGCGCCCAAGACGGCCCGAGAGGGCCCCAAGACGGCCCCAAGAGAGGCCCAAGAAGGGAAATACGAACCGAGAATCCGAGCTTTCTACCCCGAGAGGTTCTCGGGAAGTCCCAAGAGGCCCCCAATCGGATCCAAGTGGCCCCCAAGAAGCTCCCAAGAGGGCCCACGAGGTTCCAAGAGATCTCCCAAGGTGGCCCCAAGAGGCACAACTCATAGTTTTACGATTGGGCTGTGACGGGTTGAAATTTTTTCGGCCTTTTGGCATCCCGATGCTCCAAGACGGCCCAAGAGGCTTCCAATACCGCTCCCATATAGAGGAAGAGGCCTCCAAGAAATCCCCAAGACGGCCCGCGAGGGCCCCAAGACGGTGCTTGAGGCGCCCAAGACGGCCCGAGAGGGCCCCAAGAGCCCCAAGAGAGGCCCAAGAAGGGGAACGCGACCCAACAGCAGAGCGGTCCCCCCAAAAGGCCCACAGGAGGCCGCAAGAGGCCCCCAAGTGGTCCGACGAGGACCCCAAAAGCTTCCCGAGAGCCTAAAAGGCCCCTA